AAAAAAAAAAAAAAATTTACACACACACATCTCAACCATAACATATTAACATGGCCGTCCCTGGGTTATAGGATTATGAGTTTTTTTCTAGCTAGACTTTAGAATTCTAATTCTCTATGCTTTCCAAATATTCAAATGAGTATGTACTCTTTTGATAACCAGAATATGGAAGTAAAAACTGGAAAGAAATAGAAAAGAATATGGTTATCTCTAAGTAGCAGGATTATAGGTAATCTTTCTTTATTTTTATACTTTTCTGGATTTTCTAAATTTATTTCTGATAATACACAAGTATTAATTTTTAAAGCAACATATCACAGACACAGAGAAGTATAGCATCTGTCTCAGCTCTAACTCCAAACTTTTCAAGTCTCACAGAGGGGAGAATTAAGCAGCACTGAAGTAGACAAATGGGTAATAAGCCTGCTGATTTATTATTTCAATCAGCAATAGACTCTTTTCTCCTTCTCATTAATTCTGAGCATGTCACCTCTAATTACCCCTTCCCTGATTACTCCTCTATCCAAATATAGCTGCTGTTTGCCCCAGAGGAATGATATAGCAATGAAGTCACTTAGGACAATCAAAAAACCAAGAGAAATGGTACACTTTTAATTATATTTTCAATTATTGAAAAAAACAAACAAACCCAACCTATGAGGTTGATTACTCAGGAAAACAGAGGGGAAAGTCAGTTCAGACTGACGTGTGTGAGCCTGGTTGATGATGCTAAGATAACATCACCAGATTTCATCGAAGGTTCCTTTAAGATTTTGCTGAGTCAAAACAGAGAAAGATCAGAAGGAAGCCCACAGTTATGCTGGTGGACAACACCAACACCAAAGCTGAATGCCTTTTCATTTAGTGATAATGCTGGCTTTAGGTCTGTCGTGCTTTGTCTCCTAAGAATGCCCAATGGTTTCCATGAAGCCTTCAGGCAAACGGGCCACTCTAGACGTCGCACGTCACCGTTCCTACCTACTAGGCCTTCAATTCGCCTGTTGCTAGACCTCTGACCCAGCTGCCCTTCTCTAGGGCATCACGTGAGCCTTTAAC